ACCAATACATTTACTGTTTGAGTAATTTTGAGCTGAGTTTTCTGTGACTGGAAGCTGAAATCTACAAAGTGATTCATTTTCTTTAAGCTTCAATCTCTCACTCAAGGCCATGATTCATTCCCTGCTTTTGCATATCTTTCATTAACTTCTTGACCTTTTATCTTGTCTTTCTTTATCTCCTTTTCAGCATTATGACCACCAGATAACTTAGTGACTGTTAATTTGCTATATTTATCCTTTATTCTCTATTTACTCTTGGCCCATCACAAATAAGGATTTAGAATCATCAAAGTGTATGTATTATATGTGTAGCTTAGTTCTTTTTTGAAAAAAAATGTATTTTTTATTGATTTCAGAGAGGAAGGGAGAAGGAGAGAGAGATAGAAACATCAATGATGAGAGAGAATCATTGATCAGCTGTTTCCTGCACGCCTCACACTGGGGATTGAGCCTGCAACCAGGGCATATGCCCTGACCTGGAATCGAACTGTGAACTCCTGGTACATAGGTTGATGCTCAACCACTGAGCCACCGTGGCCAGGCTGTAGCTTAGTTCTTATTTATGGTAAGGGGATACTTTACCCAGCGACAAGTGGAGAGGGAGCTTATGCTCTGATGGCAACCAGTTTTAGAAACGTAGGGGTATCTGTATGAGATACTACTAATGTCCCCTTCTAGTTTTCACTAAGATAAAAAGGACCATTTGGATCTTAATGCTAAATGAACAAGAAATAAGTCGTTTCATATTTCTTTCATCTTTATCTTGGGAAAGGGATTTTATAGGAACTCAGGAATAAAGGGGGAAGGAAGAAGGACAAAATCAAAATGTTTCTAACCTTATGTCCTAGGGTGCTTTCCTATATAACTTCAGTCAAATCACACAGCAAGCCTGCAAGGTAGGCTATTTTTATCTCTGCTTTACATTTGGGGCAACTGAAGCTTAAAGAAGTAATTTTCTCAAGGCCATTCAAGTGCATGTCAGAACCAGACTCATACCAAGGACTGGATGACTCCAAAGCCATATGTTTCCTATACTGGAAAGCTTTTTAACCCTTTATCTAGCCCCCTGGGGTGGTTTTTGGACACTGCAAACCCCTCCAACTCTTTGCTGAGCAAGTGGTCAGAATTCCTGGGACAGTCTCTGGCGTCAGGATGTTTGGGTTTCCATCTCTGGGTATTTCTCCTGCTTCTCCTCAGGCCACCGGAAGCTGGAGATGCCAGCAAACTCAAGGTCAGCAAATAAATGGCTGAGAACAAGGCTGTGCTCCTGTCACATATTTCCCTGGCTTGACTCCTCTCCCATACTTTGGTGGTCTTACAGTCACCACATGTGAAATGATAGTCCGGGCTACAGCCACCAGCCTGGTCTTGTGGATCATTGCCATTCATTGAATTGTTCACAAATACCCACTACCCTCTCTCTACGCTGCATATTTTCTCTCAAGCAAGCTGTCCCAGCTCTTAGAGAACCTGCCACAGAGCCCAGAGACGACATTTATCATACTCCTGACAGTCAAGACGAGAGGATGATGGGTCACCCTGACTGAGCAGACTGGGGCTGCTCCCTTTTCAGAGTCACCCGCAATCATGACATCAGTGCAGCGCTATACCATGGAGAGAGAGAGGATGGGAAGAAATGTTGGCAAGAAGGAAAGAGAGAAGGGGCAGAGGGTGGGAGGAAAATCTGGAGTGGCTGAATTAAGAGAACCTATGATGTGATTTTTTGACCAATTCTATTGACAGAGAGATTGGTATGGCTTAATGATGTCAATATCAACACTTCTGAAAACTGTATTTAGAGAATAGCACATCAACTCAAAGATAATACCAGAATAACAACAACAACAACAACAATAATAATAAAAATAAAAAATCTTCTTCTTCTCCTTCTCTTTCTTCTTCTTCTTCTTCTGGTGTTGCCATGTGCAAGTGGTCAGTCTTCTTATTGCAGTAACCATATCCTGATTATCTTGTTTCTCCATCCATTCTACCACCTCCAGTAGTCCCAGGGAAAAGGGGAAATGAGGCCACAGATTCTGACTTTTCAGGAGTTTCTTAGATGTCAGGAATTTTTGTGTTTATAGGTGGAAATTATTATCTCCCCTCTTCTTTTCTTCTTTTTTCTTTCTTTCTTTCTTCCTTTTTTTTTTTTTTTTTTTTTACTTTTAAAAAATAATTAAGATAACTGAAGTTGAGAGAATCTGAGTAATTATTCCCTAATATCACTAACGGGTGATAGGTAGTGACTTGAACTTGGTCTTGTACCAGAGGTCTGAAATCAAGGTGTCAGCAGGGCCATGCTTTCTCAAAGGCCCTAGGGGAGAATCCCTTTTTGCTTCTTTCAGCTCATAGTGGTTTCTATGATTCCTTGGTTTGTGGCAGCATGACTTCAATCTCTGCCTCTGTCTTCACTCTGGCTTTTCCCCTGCGTGTTCTTTCCTGTCCCTATAAGCACACACATTGGATGTGGACTCTCCTTTTGATCCTTCCTTGAACTGTGTCTGTAAAGGCCCTATTTCCAAATAAGATCACATTCTAAGGTTCTGGGTAGACATACATTTTTGAGACACAACCCACTCTAGCAGCTCAGGAAATAGTATACCTAAGATCACACAGCTATGTGGGCTAAAAATCTAATTACAAACTCTATTTATTTGATACCAACTCTTGTTTATAAGAACTTCAGAGACAACCTGAAAAGGTTTTAGAGTTGTGTGGTAGCCTTTGCATGGAATCTAGGATTCATACTAGCAGGCAGAAAGTGAAGTCAGAGAAACAACTTATTACAATTAATGTGGCTTCATTTGAGGTTCCTCTCTTGATAGGTGGTAGTGTAGAAATGAGAAAAGCCACATGAACATTTTTGATGGAGCAACTAAAGCAGAAGAACCTTGTCTTAAGGGGTTTGTTTAGGAAATGGGTTAATGTATTGAGAGCGTGTCACATGGGACAACATTAATGGCCTAAAGGGTAAGAAGATGGAATGACAAGGATGACGATGACAAGATACTGGGATGATAGAGAGCTTAATGCTGGAACGATGAAGAGAGAGGCTCCCAGTAGTTTATAGACTTAGAAAATAAATACGAGACTAGAAGATTTTAAGTGAACTAATGAACTCTACATTCTTGGATGTTCTTAAGTGTTTGAGAAGGATAGCTATAAAGATGTGGAATGACTTTTTTTTTTGGCTATTCTTTAGTTGAGATACATCTGCAAACTGGTCTAAGTGTTGGTCAATGATTTATACATATTATACACAGAGTATACAGAAACTTCTGGCCATTCTGCTGGAAGTTTTCTATCTTTTTTTCTAAGTATCACCCAAGTCTCAGGAAGAAAAAGCATGGTTCAAATTAGGTGGTTAAGGGATCAAGGAAATGTCAGAGATGTGGGAGGGGCGGGGCACCCAACCAATCTAATTAATGAAAAGCAAGGACAAGAAATCTGATAATGTGGAAATTAGATTTACAATGCTGAGTTAAGTCTCAAATTCCAAAAGCAGTCTTCAGGCTTTTTTGTGAACTGTTTTTCTTTTACTTCCTTATAACCTTCCTTTTGTTGATGAGCTGCAATGTTTTCAGCGTAGAATGGTGACGCACTACATGTGGGCCATCCCTCGCTAGGCAAGTCACAGAAATCAAACAAAGTGAACAAGTGGCTAAGCTGCTGCAATCAGGAAAAGGAAAGGCTTTCTTGTCAAATGTTTGGAACTGATCAGATTAGGTTAACTCCCTTCCGTAGGTTAACTAAGGTAATCTCAGATTGTATTTATGACATGTAGTCTTTTAGAAGCACTTTCTCAAAAATACCTCCCTATACATCAAAAAGGATTGTCTTTCATTCATATGTTTATTCCTGATGAGGAGTGTGAGGGCTTTGTGTCTGTGTGCACTTGTGAGGCTGAGAGAACAATGTGTTTTCCTAAAGACTGTCATTTAAACAATGGTGAGAATAGAACATCAATTAAAAGTCTGACTTCATCTGAGTTGCATCATGTATGAGAACATATCTTGTCCCTTTCACACTGGTACTCCAGCCCTGATTTTGCCCACTCAATTCGCTAGAGATTTTGAGTGTCCTGAAAGGGTCTTGGTGTTTCGAGAACGGTGCTGAATGGTTCCCCTTCAACAGCTTTAACAGGTGAAATGTGGGGGGATTTTTTGCCTCTCCTTTTCAGACATAATCTTGGCAGAATGTTTAGAAGGAAGATAAACAGAATGTCAGGACCACTTATGAAAGAACACTAAACCAGAGAAGCCAGGGGCGTCCGGGAACACAGTGAATGGAGGTTGTCACAGGGATGGCGGCCACCGCTGGAGCGGCCCAGGCAGCAACGCTGAGCGATCTCTTGTGTGATGACTGGCACTGAACTCACTGCAATAGCCCCGGCGAGGCAGAAGTTCAAAGGGAGCTCTGCTCCTTTTCTACTCTGTCACGTGGGGCAAGTCATAAAGTCCTCCTGGGGACCACAGAGTCGTCCATTTGCAGAGAGTAAGGGTGTAAGTGGGAGAATAAATGCTCCGCTTCCCAAATTACCTTGCACCCTGGGAGGCTTCATCACAACCTAACAGAATCTGTATGGAGGCTCCAATTCTGTCTGTTCGAAGCACCCACAGATGTTTTCTCTTGGCACAGATAATAAGGATCCAGGATTAAATGTTACCATTTAATAATTAATACCATCCGAGCTCCCCCTCCCTCCCATGGAAAGTTGGCGCTGAAGCATAAGTGCTGATGTGCTGACGTCCTGAACACCCGGCGTGCTGATTGCCATGCTATGGCAGCATTACATTCGGGATAACAGCACTTCCATTTCCCAGGATGTGGTAATTGTAGCTATCATGAACTGGGCCATATGCTGGAATCGTTCATGTACCTGCAGTTAGCTACGTTTATAGATAAAAATTGGCAAATGATTTCTTTCAAGAAAATGGTGAATGTGGATTCTCTAACATTCTCCTGAATGTTTTAATTGTGAAATCCCTCTTCTTTTACAGATGTATAATCGCACGCTGTCACAGAATTACATAAGAAGAAAATGCCTGTTTCTGAGCCTGGAATCACCTTCCTCTTCCTTGAAATCACACTATACATCTGTAAAATGGTAAATTGGGGGAACCTGAGTGACAGTTATCAGAGTCTTTGTAATTGTCTCTCAACTTTCTGTAATCCTGAAATTATGTTACCATGAATCATTTTAAAAAAATCTGAACTAGCTTGAAACTCGTTTTTTAAAATTGCATTTGTTGGGGCGACATTGATTAATAAAATTATATAGGTTTCAGGTGTACAATTCTATAATACATCATCTATATTGTGTATTCACCACCCCAAATCAAGTCACCCTACATAACCATTTATACACCCCCTTTTCCTTCTCCTATGTTCCCCCACCCTCTTTTCCCTCTGGTAATAACCAGACTGCTGTCTGTGTCTATGAGTTATTTTGTTTTTCTTAATCCCTTCACCTTTTTCACCTAGTCCTCCAACCCCACATCCTCTCTGATAGCTATTCTATTCTCTGGTCAATGAGTTTTTTTCTATTTTGTTTTTTAGTTTATTTTGTTCGGGAGATTCCACATATGAGGGAAATTATATGGTACTTGTCCTTCTCTGATAGGAGCTTCTGGGCAGGTGCTGACCGCACGAAGTGGAATCTGCCTCAGCAGGGCCTGGTGCCTGCCCAGATCTCCCTTTGAGTGTGCCTCTTGTGAAGCTAATTGGATCCTGCTCTGGTGTCTGGAGCTGGCCACTGGCTGTGTTGGTTCTGGGGCCTCTTGGGAGGGTCTCTGGTGCAGGCCAATGTCAGACGCTGCCTGTGACTGGCCCTGGGCAACCTTTTGGAGCTACAAAGTGATCTACAGTTTGTGGCTGTCTCTGCTGGCCTGGGCGTGCACAGGAAGGACCAAGCTGCACACCAAGGCCAGCTGTTACCAGCACCGGGTCCAGGGGCAGGTCAGCAAAAGGCCCACGGCATCCTGAGATCCCCCTCTGCCTGCCTCCGCCTGCCTCCACCTGCTGGCTGCCTGTCAGGCTCAGCCACTGAAAGGGCCTCTGGTGGTACCTGAGTTGCCTGAGGTAGGTTCTCAGTGAGTCACCAGGTAGGGGTGAGTGATGTTCACTAGACTGACACAGGTTCAAACTCGGTGTCAATGCTGAGCCTGAGGCCACTCAGCAAATGTCCCAGGGTATCCCTGGGCCTAGCTGCCACCCACTGCATGCTCGCACACCTTTCCGGTGGGATAGGGGTCTCAGGGAGTCATCAGGGCCAGGCCAGCTGAGTTTATCAGGTCCAAACAGACCAAGAGTTGGCTGTGCAAAGGGAGCGCTCTGCACCCATTGGGTGTGTGAGGGAAAAATGGCTCCCATCCTAGAGCCACACAACTCAGTTTGTCCCAAAATCTGCCAGGAGCCCAATCTCAGCAGGGCAGGGTCACTGAGAGTTGGAAGGTTGGGCTAGTGGATCTCCCATGAGAGGGAGTTCCTGGTCAGGCTTGGGGGGAGTAGGGGAAATGGCCCCTGCCCCAGAGTCACACAACTCAGTCTGTCGGAGCCTCTAGGAATCTGAGAATGGGCCTCTGGGAGACTGTAGGGTGGGGCTAGTGGATCTCCAGTCAGGGAGAGGCTCCAGTCAAGTTCACAGGAAAGTGGGGGGAATGGCCCCTGTCCCAAAGCCACACAACTCAGTCACTGACATCCCCTGAGTCTGCCCAGACCTTTGCACCCGGGTCCAGGCAGCTAACTCCTAAGCAGAGCTGGAGCTCCACAGGGAGGGGTGAGAGGGAGTGCAGAGGGTGGGGCTACATTCCAGGCTGATGCCCTATGGAGTGTAGTGCTGCACCCAGGAAAGATGGCATCTGCAGGTCGGGGACTGACGCAGCCCAGGGCCCTGGCAGCTGCCTCTTCAGCTCTCTCCCCAGAGTCACCAACCCCAGCTGCTCCTCACATGACTCTGGTCAGCTCCACCTTCCCTCTGCCAGAGCCCAGGGCTCTTTTTAAATAAGTTGGATCTTCTGTTTTACCTACAAAACAGTAACTGAAGTAAATCCCTCATTCTTTTTTCTTCTTCTTTTTTCACTGTATTCCCCCATTCAATCTTGGCTGCCACAATCAGACAGACAGAAAGCGCGAGGACCCTTTTTTCTTGCATCTGCACTGGAAATCCATCATTCTTTAAAAACATTTAGATGAAAGGTCCTACCCTACTACCTACAGAAACATAAAGAAACAGATATGTTTGTTGTATAACTAACAAGGTCACAGGCTGTTCGGCTGCTGGAGCAAACTCGATTAAGACCGTGATAATCTTTTGAAAGATTGTAATTTATCTCCATTTGAAGGGCATTATCTTAGTTCTTCAGCTATCACAGGGAGCGGTTAACAAATATTCAGTGATGAATTTTTGAAAGCTATAGTCAGATCTTGTTCTCTTAAACCTTTCGGAAGGGATGTCAAAAGGCAGTGAAATAAAAATTGTCAAATCTGTACACAGACTTACTTAATGGCTGTTATCTGAGAAAGTGGTTTATGACTCATACAGTCACTACCTTTACTTAAGCAATTTCTTGTTTGCTTTAGATTGAAGACAATCTGTTCCCAGTGCTCACGGGGGACAGATTTCCTCACAAGGCTCTTGTTTCCTTGAAGTAAGAAGCTATGAAACACAAAATCCACCCAGAGGGAATCTGTACTTTCAAAATGGTCTCCTACTTTTGCTAAGGGTCAGCATTATTGACCACCTTCTTACTGAATGCATTTCAATTAAATGTGGCATGTGAGCCTGTAAATAGCCTTGAATATTTCAGGAGGGTTTTGATACTAATTTTGAAGGAGGAAGGGAAGAAGAGACTAAAAGGACCAAGCGTATTCTGTGTGCTAGGGGCTCTGCTTGGTAAGCAGATCATTCTCCCAACAACCCCACGAGAGAGAGATGCATTCTTTACATTTCACAGATGAGAAGATCTGCGCTTAGAAAGACAAAGTATGCAGCACACAGGGAGTCACTGGGAACAGAACTGGGGGAAGACTCACCAAAAGTTCTATCTTTCCACTACTATCCATGCCTGCAACTTTTTATCAAGTGTTTTTGTTTAATTTTTGCCTGATTATTTGCTCAAGTGATTGATTCTTTCCCCCTATGCTGGGACCAATTTTTTTTTTTTTTTTGAAGTGGAGTATTGCTATCATGTAGATATGAAACAGGCCTGAAAAACCTCAATAGTATGCAATCACATGGCCTCACTTATTTTCAAGGAGGGGAAGTTGGGATGAATCAGGCAGAGGTGAGGAGAAATAGACAGGCCATTCCCAGTCACTTGTACATTTACAATGCACAGAGCCACTAGCTTTCAAATATTACTTTATGAGATGAAACTTCTTGCTACTGTTAGAGTTGGGGATGATGATGAGAGAAGCAGGGTACAATGAGGATCATGCAAGAGAAATCCAATTCAACTTTCTTCAAAAGAAGCGTTGTATGCATATATTTTATTTTTTACAGTTTTTTAAGCTGTCTGCTAAACCTACCACATAAGTAGGCCAACTCCTCTCAGCATAGGAGAGAGACCAGGAGCATAGCACTTTTTTTTATAGCCTGGATAATTTTAAAAATGAAGAATGCCCAAAACAGGCTTAAAAAACATTAAAGTATATTTAGAGACTTACAGTGAACAAATTTAATGCTTCTACCTGTAAAATATTAAATGCTGATCATATTTATGCTACTCATAAGATAGTTCCAGGATTAACACTGTTTTCATTCACAGGTGGTATGTTTCAGTAGCATGGCATCAGCTGGAAATAGTGTGATAGTAGTAATCATGCAACTGTATGCATTTGCCAAAATTCATCAAATGTACTCTTTTTTAAAAAAATATATTTCTTTATTGATTTCAGAGAGGAAAGGAGAAGAAGCGAGAGATAGAAACATCAATGATGAGAGAGAATCATTGATTGGCTGCCTCCTGCACACCCCTTACTGGGGATCGAGCCCACAACCCAGGCATGTGCCCTTGGCCGGAATCGAACCTGGGACCCTTCACTCAGCAGGCTGACGCTCTATCCACTGAGCCAAGCCAGCTAGGACTCAAATGAACTCTTTAAAAATGTGACTTTTTAAGTATAAGGTCTACCTCAATTAACCTGACATAAAAAGGTTGCCATCTTGTCGGTGAATCTTGTTGGTGGATTCCTGTGACTATGTAACCTTATAACGAGAGATTGCTAAAAGCTTACGTTTGAGTCCTGTGGACAATGTTAAGTCCAGGCAGGGTCTGATTGGCTCCCTGGGATGCAATGCGGAGGGGGTTCATCTGGCTTACTCAGGATAGAAACCAAGTGTCTAGCCAAGTATCAGGCACATGGCTGGGGCTCATTTGTACCTACTGATGGAATGCACGAGGTGGCCCTGTTCGTTAGCTCTGTCATTCTTGAGCCAAAGGCACGCTCTAAGCCTAGCTGCTCTCTAGGGTCCTAAAGGTCTTTGAGATATTGGTGGCACTGGTCATGAATACATGGTCAGTTCCAGGACATGATCTCAATGGAACCTTCTGGACAGACATTTCAGATCCTCTTTTATCCTGAGAGGAGTCACAGAGATGCCTAGAAGCTAATCTTTGCGGCAGAGAATTGGGACATAACTTACTCCAAACACAAGAACATTTGTGCCTTGAGTCTATCCTGGAAAAAATGAGGAGTCGAGTTGATCTGCCCAGAAGCGTATTTGTTCAATCATTGCTCCTTCCACTGAGATAGTGCTAGATTATTGCTATTGGGATCCATATTGCTTTACTTGCACAAACATAATTTTAGAGTTAATTATTCTTCAAAATAAAGTTCAGATCTCATCAACAATAAAAAATAATCTTACTATACCTGAAATCATTGTTTGAAACAGTGGTATATATGTAAATCTCCTTGAAACAAGAGAAGTATATATATATATTGCATCTCTTTCCTGATTATTCCTAATTATGAATTTATTTTATTTTGTGAAATTCATTGGAACAAAACAGTTGTATAGAACTAACAGAATATCACAAACATTAACATTGCTCCAGCTAGTTATATTTCAGGATGTAAATATAACAATATTATAACTAGATCCTTGCCCTATATACATAAGTACACATAGGTTAAGCTGTATCCCTACAATTCTGCGGGAAATTGGCTGAAGTCTGTTTTCATCAGTCAATTCAAATAAAGGCACACAATTATGTGAGAATACTGCTTTCTTCTGTGACATTTAGCCAACCTTAGAAATACCTTTATAAATGTTAAT